AACATATCAAAAATTAATTTCAAAGTGAACTATCCCTTTAATGCTTTCAACAACAAACAAAATGACCCAAAACACTTTGAAAATAAGTGTATACTGACTATTTCCATTAATATGTGACTTGATTTAGTTGACTGAAATGTTTCCAGTTCTTTTGAGGACCGTGGGAACAAAGACTGACACCTGAGAGACAAACAAGGGAACGTCATCTAAACTCCACCATCATTCCAGCAGTTTTAATTCTGTTCACGTGTTGTTTGCATGTTTTGTGTTTTTTGACACACAGTATTTCTTCAAATGATCTCGAAGAGAGTTATACAACAACTAAACTGATATTTCAGATGCTGATGATACAAATTCATTGACAATTCATGATAATTTAAATTAAACACTGTTATGTTCTTTTAAAAAAAAAAAGTCATGCATCATGGGTTTTCAACAGAAACTGAATTTTTGTATTATTTTAATGGCTTTAGCAGATGTACAGAGGCAGATTTTGTAGATTGATCTAATATATGCATTATTTGCCAAGCCACATTATTTTTAACTTGTGCTTCTGGTAGATTGCATTGGTCATATTAACCTCTTCCACTCTAAGGCATATTTTGGAATTCCTCCTAAATTTAACACACCCAAGTTTAAATATTCACACAGTATAGGAAATTATAGGAAAAAAATAGTGTCATTGTACAGAAAACCCTTCAAATTTACTAAATCAGATTGAAAAAAAAATCATAAATAGCATTGCAAGCTTTTAAAATATTAGGATAAACTTTAAAAAATTGGCCTTTTTTAATTTATTTATTTTTTTATCCTGTTTTTGAAAAATCTGTGATGCATGTACTGTTTGCTCTGGGGACCTGCTGATTATATTGCTTGACTACACTAAGTCACTGTATCCACCAGAACAAAATACTATATAAATACTACATATATAAAATACTATATATGGGGTGATAGCATCTCCAGAAACACACAAAAAAAATAAGTTTAAATATAATGACGTAGCTCTGTTGCCCGCCCACGGGCGATCAGAGTGGAGGAGGTTAATGAAAATGAGTGTCTGCATGATTATTTACTCACCCTCATATTATTTTAAACCCGCATGCTATCATTTTCCTGAAAAATTTTATGTTTCCCACTGTAAAAACTGGAGCAAACTGCACTCACACATTCTGCAAACTTAGAATGACATGAGTGTGAGCAAATGCCAGTGTTCATAGACTTACTCCCTGTTCCTGATTTCCTCTGCAGGCACACATCCACGGAGCTGGAGAGCGCAGGTCTCGGGCAGAGGTTCTGGAGGCCTGGAGTCTCCTGGGATGGGACCCAGAGAACGGGCCCGTCTGATGCACATCGAGAGAGAGAACTAAATTGCACAGAAGAACACAGAGCATGAAAACAGCGAACAAAACCACACCGGATTCAAATAAACCAGCAGCTCCCTGGCGTACCTGAACAGCATGAGTTGTAAGCGTGTTGTGTTGTGCTGGAGAATGTGTTGTATCTTCGGGTCAGCTGTAAAATTGAGCCGGTCCAAACTGTGAGAGTTTTTTCCATAAACACCTGATCCGGACGGCTCATAACACAACAGCACTGCACCCAGTTCTGACTGATCCAGCGCCGGCAAACCCTGATCTGCACAAACACACACATCCATGAGTTTGTCTATAGAGAACATCAATCTGAACTCTGAAGTAACATTACCTCCATTAAACACGTGTTACTTTGAACATTTATTTAACTTTTAATGTATTTTATTAGAGGTTGACTATATATGCTTCAATTAAAAAACAAAACAAAACATGTATTTTAGTCAAATTCCCAGTAAAGAATAACACAGTAGCACAAGTATTCATATATTCAAGTTGGTGGCCTTTTTAAGATAATCGGTGTATTATTCATGTGGCATGACAGAGGTGTAAGTTAAGTTAGATGGCCACGCATAATGCCAGAAAAAATGCTGTAATGGCTGAATTAAAGCAAAAGAATAAGGACAAAAGAATGATGAAGATTAATATGTGAAATATTCGCCGAATGGGCCAGACATTAGTCAAAGACTATAAATCAGTGTGTTTATGCATCTCATCAGCCTTGTCTAAAACTTATCCAAATTCTACATTTGACATGATTGTAAAATAGGCATCATAAAACGTATCATTTTAGAGATATCATCCTCAGATTTGAAATAAAGCATGACCACAATTGTGGCTTGGCTACACTTTGTTTGTGGTTATAAGTTGCAATCCTACATTCACATGCTATTTGAATAGATTTAATAAATATATATAATTAATATTTGTTTGAGCTTATATATGTAAATATTAATAACAGTCTGTTTAATTTTGAGTCTTGAATTGGAAACTGACTTTCTAAATATATGTGTTATGTGTCTATTGATTTATGAACAGAAACCTCTTTATTTTGGGTATGTCGTGATTGCATCACTTGCCGAAATTGGGGCTGACTAAAAAAGGGTAAAAAAAATACTTCTTTAAAAGAAAACAAAATGATAAAATGGCTTTAAAAATGAAAACAGGAGTAAAATTAGAGTTGGTCTCATTACATTCCCCAAATACTTATTTGAATATTAAACAATAAACTGTCATTGTGTTTATATTGTTTTATACCAACATTCCCTAATAAAATAATGTAAACTACACCCATTTCTCATATTTCAGATCTCAGAGCTGTTATTCAGTCTTTAATGAAGAATTATTAGAAATGTCACTGAAGAAAAAATAAGGAGAAATGCGTTTCAGAGACCAAAATGATTTCTGGCTTTGTTTTTGCACACATCAGTCTACTAGATTTGCCCAAGCACGCACTTCAAGCTGTGACTCAAAAAGAAGACATTTCCAAACGGACACACCCACCTGCGTTAGAGACGTTCCCGATGAGATAGAGCCCGTCTGTTCCTGTGCTGCCCCTGAGCGGCACACTCACTGCTTGAGCGTCTTCCCCAAAAAATACTAAAACAAGTCCATTCAACGGAGTCAACGGTGGGCCTATCAACTCCACAAATATACATTGGCCTACTGTGCAGTTTGGTCCGTTGAATTCATTGATGAGGAGACCCTCCGGGGGTGGAGGTATAGTGGGTTTTGTGGGACAGTTGTTCTGCTTCCTTGGTGTGGGAGAAGCGACCTGTGGACACATGACATGTTGGAGGGTTGATAATGCATGCATTTGATAGTCCATAACACATAACATCCTAAGAAAGCAGTGTCATCCGGTCAGTATCGCTAAATAAATCCTGATAGGCTACTTACATAGGCATCTCTTCATAGTTTATAATGTGAGGAAATGCTATGCATGCATTCAGTGCCTAGACGACCTATAACATCTGTCAAAATGTGTGTGCAATGCACTCGTCCTCTATCGCCTGGGAATTTAAACATTTCAAGTTGATTTATTATATGATTAGACAGCCAAAAATGTGTTTCATTTTTACTCAAAATGGATAAAACACTCTCTTTCCTGGCAATTGTTTCGCTCTTTACTGTACCCCTGTTTGTTTTGCTACATTTCTGTAAACAAATGTAATATTTGGCTTTGCTAATAATAATATTCTGACTGTGGTAATAATGTTTGAAAAACATATCACTGTATACGGTTTGAAAGTAACATACACATTTTTAATATCAAATAGCATAAATAAACTAAAGTAGAGTAAAAGTAAAGTGAAATGAAAAAGTAATACTAAAGTAAAATAAAAGATAAGTCAAGTTATAAAAAATAAAATGAAGCACACTTAAATAAAATGAATTTAAGGGAAATAAAATAAAGTTAAAGTACAGTAAAATAAAAGTAAAGTGAAATAAAATAATGTGAAATAAAGTGAAGTAAAATAAAGTAAAAGTAAATAAAGTGAAATAAAATAAAGGAAAAATAAAGGAAAAAGTAAAGTGAAATAAATAATGTAAAATAAAGTGAAGTAAAATAAAGTAAAAATGAATAAAGTGAAATAAAATAAAGGAAAAATAAAGGTAAAAGTAAAGTGAAATTATAAAAAATAAAATGAAGCAAACTTAAATAAAATGAATTTAAGGGAAATAAAATAAAAGTACAGTAAAATAAAATAAAGTAAAAGTAAAGTGAAATAAAATAATGTAAAATAAAGTGAAGTAAAATAAAGTAAAAGTAAATAAAGTTAAATAAAATAAAGGAAAAAGTAAAGTGAAATAAAATAAAGGAAAATAAAGTGAAGTAAAATAAAGTAAAAGTGAATAAAGTGAAATAAAATAAAGGAAAAATAAAGGTAAAAGTAAAGTGAAATAAAATAAAGGAAAAATAAAGTGAAGTAAAATAAAGTAAAAGTACATAAAGTGAAATAAAATAAAGGAAAAATAAAGGTAAAAGTAAAGTGAAATAAAATAAAGGAAAAATAAAGTGAAGTAAAATAAAGTAAAAGTGAATAAAGTGAAATAAAATAAAGGAAAATAAAGTGAAGTAAAATAAAGGAAAAATAAAGTGAAATAAAATAAAGGAAAAATAAAGAAATAAAATAAAGGAAAAATAAAGTGAAGTAAAATAAAGTAAAAGTACATAAAGTGAAATAAAATAAAGGAAAAAGTAAAGTGAAATGAAAATAATGTAAAATAAAGTGATGTGAAGTGAAATTTAAAAAAAAAAAATGCAACAGACCTCGGAGGAATGAATTCTACTAAACTCTTTGCAAAAGGTAAAAATGAGACCAAGTTTCTATGAGAACTCAGCATGAACAGAAACACCAGATCTCACCCTGAAAGCATTGAGGTTGAGTCTCTCGAGTCCACATCGGGTGAGGGTCTCGTCGCCGGGTAACGCGCTGACGTCCTCCAGTAGAGGGATCTGTCCTGGCGTCAGCGCCTGCGTTATCTCGGAAACCCTTCTATCAGATCCACGGGTGCGATACACCACTGCATCCAGCAAACCGCTTTTGGGAACACTGGGACTCTCCTGCGAGGGCGGAGACTTGCTGCGATACAACACTATGGCGTCTGGGCCGTTCTGAATAGTGTTCGATGGGATTCTGATGTCAGGGCCGACCTTCGCACTGCCGATCTGGAAGAACAGATTCAGAAAGATTTTAAAAGCGGTCGCTTTATGTTTGTTGCAAGGATGCATTAGGTGACAGAATGTTGGTTGCTTTATATGTCAGACAGTCTTGGCCAATTAAAGCTGCTATGGAGTCCCACATGAGACTATAACCTTGCAGAGCCTTTTCATGCTCAAACAGCAACATTACACACTAAAGTAATTTGAAAATGTGAAAAAAGCATAATAGAAAATTAAAAATAAATTAAAAAACGTTAAGACCCCAAACTTTTGAATGGTAGTGTCCATAATTGCCTGTTATGTTATAGCTGACGCATACTAAATGGAATTCAACCATATGACTTATTTGCGTTCAAGTATGGATCTGCTCACCAGGAAGTATCCGTCATCATCTGTGAAATATCCATTCAGCTCCAGCTCATAGTACACCTCTGCATTCTGTCCATTGATCATCACCAGCCAGATGAAATCCAGCGACATGCGGAAGCCAGACGGATGCCACAACTCTATAAACTCCTCGTCCTCGGCTCCTGGTGTGTCAGTGTTGATCTCATTAAGTAGGAAATCCATATCGCTATGAATCGCCGGATAGCTCCGTCCTGCCACCGTAGAAAAGGCTGAAACAACAAGGCAGAACTTACAGTGATGTGAATAAGTTTGGACACCCATGCTAAAGTTGCCTAAAAAGAGGAATAAAAAAATCATCTTTTGGATATGTATCTTAATGCCTTAATTAAAATAATTAGGAAAAATCAAAGCTTTTAAGGACACACATTTTCTTTGTGAATGAATAATGCATCATAAATAAATAAATGTTCTTCCTTAAAATACAGGGTGCATAAGTCAGGACACCCCTATGTTAAATTCCCATAGAGACAGGCAGATTTTTATTTTTAAAAGCCAGTTATTTCATGGATCCAGGATAATATGCATCCTGATAAAGTTCCCTTAAAATATCCCCACATCATCACACACCTTCCACCACACCTAGAGATTGGCATGGGGTACTTTCCATAAGATCATCTTTCAATGCAAATCAAACCAGCTATTAGGCTAACTGAAGTAAAACCATGCCAATCTCTAGGTGTGGTGGAAGGTGTGTGATGATGTGGGGATATTTTAAGGGAACTTTATCAGGATGCATATTATCCTGGATCCATGAAATAACTGGCTTTTAAAAATAAAAATCTGCCTGACTCTATGGGAATTTAACATAGGGGTGCCCTGACTTATGCACCCTGTATTTTAAGGAAGAACATTTATTTATTTATGATAGATTAATCATTCACAAAGAAAATGTGTGTCCTTAAAGGTTGGAGTTTTCCTCATTTTTCTAATTAAGGCATTAAGATCAATATCCAAAAGATGATTTTTTATTCCTCTTTTTAAGCAACTTTAGCATGGGCGTCCAAACTTACTCACATCACTGTAAAAACATGACAGGACACACATAACGGGGAACCCATTTATACACGCAGATTATAATTAACATGTATTCCGTGCACATTGTGTTATTTATTTAATGTATTATGCTTTTATGTATGTTTACATGACTCTCGGTGGCCTCATTCATTGCCCCTTGGAAACAAGTGTTTTGAATTGAACCCAAAAATTGTGTAAGAGAAAGAAAGTTGTTTCGCAACATGAAATCAAGACCTACTCATGTTAAGCGGGCAGGTCTGAAACCAAACGCAGTCATTGGGTTTTCTGGGAGTCTGGGGCCTCGTAGCAAACAGTCCCGGATCTCGCGTCCATTCGGTAACACCACACCGGCTGGCATGAACACCTCCTGTGTGAAAACTGCAGCATACAAATGGGATAAACATGGATTATAAAATACACAAATGCCACAATAATGCATTGTATGGCATGTGCTGATCACCTTTCTGTGAGTATGAAGGGTTTTCTCCCGGGTATGAGAGTCTCTGTGAGGTTCTCACTGGGCATGTGCGCAGAGTCACCGTAAACAAAGGCATCGATTGGCTGTTCGTGGCTGAGGGGGCCGTCCTTAGGGAAGTTTGATGCAGGGCCATTATACAATGCCAATGCTGCACTTTGTGGCACTGAAATATCAAATATTACATACAAATTAGGACTGTGCAAAGATTAATTGCGATTAATCGCATCCAAAATAAAAGATTGTGTTTACATAATATATTTGTGTGTGCTGTGTATAATTATTTTGTATATATAAATACACACACATGCATGTATATATTTAAGAAAATGTGTTATTCATATATAAAATATTTATATATATAATATAGATTATGTATTTTTATATATACACAGTATAATTCTTAAATATGTATTATACACAGCACACACATATATTATGTAAACACAAACTTTTATTTTGGATGCGATTAATCGCAATTAATCTTTGCACGGTCCTAATAAAAATGTATTTAGTTGCATTTGAAAATTTCATTACTAATTTTTTTTTTTTTAATTACTAAATAATGTTTTTTTTTATTAAAGATACATTAAAGACCTCTATGTTATTTTAAATACATTGACATTGAAAATCTAAACACTCAGCAGCATACTAATAGTAATAGATAATGCATACTAATAATTATTGTTTGAAATGTAAAGTACATTTGTTCTGCAGTTCTGCTTAATAAAAAAATAATAATTATATCAGAATGATTTCCATTAATTCAGTTTGTGTTTTCCATCACATTACGAGAATTTAAAAGAGAATATTTGTCATGAAAATAATGCAAAACACATCCTCCAAACTTAGTTTAAAAATGGTCTTACAAATTCGTTTCATTCCCTTTATGCAAAATATATATATTTTTTTTTTTCTTTTCAATCAGAGGTGATATGTGATCTGGACAAGATTTACCCAACAACATACGAGACAATAAACAACACTAAATTGTTTGAAATAGTATAGTTAACTAACTAAACCACAAATACAAAAAAAAAAAAAAAAAAAAAAAATTAAATGAAAGAAAGAAAGTTGAAATAATAATATAATATATAATTATAATATAATAATATTAGATAAAACTTATAACATAGAATTGTTGCCTCGGCTAAAATAAAAGCTCAAGAACAAAAAAATTTAATAAAACTAAATAAAAATAAATAAATTATTAAAAGTTAAATTTAATAAATTAAAGCAAAAATGTATAGAAAATGACACATAAAATAACTGAAAATGTATTTCCAAATATTAACAAATACAAATGGTGTATAAATAATAGAGCGCGACCGATAAAGGATTTTGAAGGCCGATACCGATTTTTATGTTTTTTTTATATTTTTAGGTTTTAAAATCCAATATTCCAATATATCAGCGGATATTTTATTTATTTATTTGAAACTGGACATGATAGTCACAAATTTTGTCATGCTTATTTGAGTTAAGAGGACTGATGGGGATGTTCTTTTAATTATTATTCAAGCAATGTATGTCTCGTGACCAAATCAACGAGTGTTGCCAACAGGAACGTTGCAGAGTGCCCTCTGGTGGACAAACTATACAACTCCAACACTCATGAGATGGTTCAAGCGTGTTTCGTCCGTTTTTATTTTATTTTTGAAATATTCATTTATCGGCCATTATAACTGCCGATACCGATAGTTTGGAAAATTCCTAATATCGGCCGATAATATCTGGCTCTAATAATACCAAATTACACTGGTTTGGAATAGTGATTTTAAATAAGATTATTTACAAGTAATCGCCTCTACCTGCCAAAGTCGAAGTATTCACAAGTATGGTGAAGATCCCAGCCTCCTTTGCGCTGAACTCCACACTCGAGCTAATGAGGTCAGTGGTGACATCATAAAGCACCAAAGAAAACAACCCGTTTGCCATGCCAACACTGAGTTCCACGAGACCCTGCCGGTCCGGCTCGCTGAGGTCGACTTCGTTGATCCAAACATTCGCAGGGGTCGGCGGTGGGCAATGATTGACCAACATAGGGGTGGGGGGTCCAGTGTAAAACGTCCAGAGGTTTCCCGACTGCCAGCAGCGCTGAATGGACTCGTCCCCCTCCAGAGCCGCCTCATCCTCCAGGTACGGGAGCGAGCCGGGAGTCAGAACCGACGCGAGGCCGTCGGCGCCGTCTGCGGATTTACGAGAAGTGTACACCACCGCGTCCAACAACCCCACTCCTGAAACGTGTCCCCCTTCAGAAACCGGGTCCCAGTTGGGACCGTAGAGTGCGATGGCGTCGGGCCCATTCTGAACGGAGTTGGGCGGAAGAGAGATGGCGGGACGGGGAGTCAGTTCAGAAGAGCCAACTAAGAAGAAGCCTTTCTGATCCGTGTGCTGTCCACTCAGATCGATGACCCGGTAGGCTGAGTCTCCGTTGCCGTTGTAAAACACCAGTGTGTATCCATCCAGAGAAGCGGGATTCGTGCCATCATTGTACAGTTCCACAAATTCATGAGTGTCCAATCTGGGATTGTCACAGTTCACTTCGCTGATTATTAAACATTGGGTCGTTTCTTTAAAAACGCACATTAACACCAAAAATCCCAAACTCAGCTCCACACGCATGGCTGCAGCCCTGATAAAAACTCTCAGCATATCATAATAAGCAAGTGGACCTGTGGAAGGAAAAGAGAAATGTCATTCCAGATGCGTGCAATCACTTTCAAAACATCTTAAAGGGTTAGTTCACCCAAAAATGAAAATTAAGTCATTAATTACTCACCCCCATGCTGTACCAACCCCGTAAGACCTTCGTTTGTCTTCGGAACACAAATGAAGATATTTTTGATTAAATTTGAGAGCTGTATAACTACCACATTGGCTCCTAAAGGACTGCCTCTTGACGGCCCAGAAAGTCAATGAAGAAAATGTTTAAATATCCCAAGTGACTACCGTGGCTCAACTATATGTTTATCAAGCGACGGCGACGCGAATACTTTTTGTGCGAAAAAACAAACAAAAATAACAAGTTTATTCGACTATTTCTTTTCTTCCTTGTAGGCCAGAACGAGACTTCCTTAGATTTCCACGACGCATGCGCGAGAATTGCGATCTGAAGTAGTGTAAGCGGGTGTGAGCAGATCGCAAATCTCGCGCATGCGTCGTGGAAATCTAAGGAAGTCTCGTTCTGGCCTACAAGGAAGAAAAGAAATAGTCGAATAAACTCGTTATTTTTGTTTGTTTTTTCGCACAAAAAGTATTCGCGTCGCTTGATAAACATATAGTTGAGCCACGGTAGTCACTTGGGATATTTAAACATTTTCTTCATTGACTTTCTGGGCCGTCAAGAGGCAGTCCTTTAGGAGCCAATGTGGTAGTTATACAGCTCTCAAATTTAATCAAAAATATCTTCATTTGTGTTCCGAAGACCAACGAAGGTCTTACGGGGTTGGTACAGCATGGGGGTGAGTAAGTAATGACTTAATTTTCATTTTTGGGTGAACTAACCCTTTAAGTTTCGTTTCCATTCAATCTAGACACGTTGCTTCCCCAACAGTTGCGATATTGGCAAATTCAAGGACAGGAAGGCATCAAAACACGTGAGAACAACTCCAAGGCCTGTTCAATTCTCCACATTAGTTTGACACTGATACAAGATAACATATTCATAACAAAGAACATTCCACTCAAACCTATGAAACATTAGAGGTCTTCTGAAGTCGTACTATAAAGTTGCGAGAGGAACAGACTTGCAAGTTTATAAATGACAACAGTTTGGGGGCTGAACTGTTAAGTGCAGCATATAATCCTAGTAGCTATGAAGGAAGTGTGGTTCTTGAACGTTAGTTAAAGTGTGAACTCTGGCATAAACACACAGGCACTTGCACAACGGCGTCTATCTGAGTCATCAGCTGATCTCCAATAACCAGCAAATCTGGCTCCTGTCATGGTTATGCCTACCAGGCAAAAAGTGCTGTGAACTTTTCCGAAAAAAAAAATGAATTTTTCATCTGCCTTGGTTATAGAAGTATTTTTCCCATTCATTCAGAAGTCTTCCTTTAGTTATAAAAATCCATAATCCTATCCAAACCAACCAGCTACAAGGTTTTATAAACGAAGCGGCTGAAATAAAGGTCACGCCGGAAGTGATCTCTCGTGTCTCACGTCACGTATTGTTTACGCGGAGATCTCGGAAGTTTTACCTTTCACTAAACATAGATGTAGACCATTTTTCAAGATGTAAACAACACTGGTCTAGAAACACCTCCTGTTTCAGTTTGTAACTGTTTTCTTTATTTCACATGTAAAGAAAACATCTTAAAGATGTTTGTTTGACTTTTTGATTCATATTTATATGTTCTGTTGGTTGTATTTTATCCCAGCTTTTATGTAGTATTAAAAAACTGAAACAGGAAGTGCTTCTGGACCAGCGTTGTTTACATCTTGCAAAATGGTCTATAAAGAAATGTAAACAATGCGTGACATAGACGCGCGAGAGATCACTTCCGGCGTAACGTCTGGAGACGGTTCAGTTGGACATCTGATTAAGATCAGTTCGGCAGCTGTTAACAAGAGGTAAAAACTATATAATTATTACTGTTCATTTTCTCACACAAACCACTCGTTTCGTGTCTTTAGGCCATCAATGTGTAGCCTACTTACATTCACAAGTCATTAAATCATGTTTAATTTTGACTTCTCTGGGCATGCTCTTTGAGGTGGACCGGTTTGACCGAAAAATGTCTAAATTGAAAATACTGTGGAAACAAAGACACCTACATCTTGGATGCCCTTGAGGTAAGCTAAAACATATCTAAAATTAATTTCCAAGTGAACTATCCCTTTAAAGTAAAATAATAAAAATTCAAATAATAAACAAATAAAAAAAACAGAAGCTAAAGAAACAGTTATGAAACAATATAAATCTGTTCATGATATAAAGCAATTGCGTCTCTTCAGAAAATGTTTACTAAACCGCTTAATTCAAATGGATTAGATCTCTAAACTTTTTAAAGCGATTCTTGCGTTCTTGTCTATGGTTCAAACAGACCCTATGTGAAGCAGTACATAAAGTATAGAATGAAAATGTCTCTGCAACATCTGTGTATATGGCAAATATTTCATTTATTTCACATCAGCTTCGTGTGGTAAAGTATTAAAACACCACATGAGGGGTCACTACGGGACTTCACGTCTCCGTTTGCAGCTCCTCCGATCGGTTACATCCATAGACAGTAAAAGAAATGTTAACTTGATCCAGCCTATGTCAAACCTCGTCATACAGTAACTTTTTGCACACACTCCAGTGAAGACAAAGTAGAAGTACCTAACTTCACAGCGTGAAGCTTCACAACATCTACACAGAATAGAGACAATGTTTATTGCTGAGAAATAAACACAATTAATCTGACGTACTTCAAAGTTACTAGCTACTTCGCCATCACAAAGACAAACGATTTCGCAATCGGTGTGAAGTTAAAATCCTAGCAGAGCAGATTGGATCTGTTTAACTCGACAAAGACTTGCGAGAAAAACCATCGTGTGGTTTAATGGAGAAATGTTGCTTACCGTGACGCCCGATGCCCGGTAGAACGGGTTTGAAAGTGTTTTGTGAAGTTTCAGAAACTTTTCCTGTGTGGAGAAACCGATTTGATCCGGTCGGTCTCTTCCATGCGAGTGTGGGCGGTGAATCTGGATGAATTCACGCACATTCCCGGAGACATAAATCCTGGTTCCCAGAAAGATGCCTCTCTGTCCTTTGTGTGCAACAAGGCTTTTCCTAGTATTGCTTCACAGTGGGTGCATCATTTCCCCAGTTCTATACCCCGAAACTGTTAGTTAACACTTAAAAACCAATGTAATTACTTGGTACAAAATATATAAACCAAGTCTAATTTATTTTAAAGAAAGATGATGGCACTATACACTTGGATAGAAAAAATACAACAATGAAAGATTATTTCCTCAGCTAGGCTACTGATTCTTGGAATTTTTATTTTTTTTGAAAAGTTCCTGAAACTACATTTATTTAATCTTCTAGAATACTGTTGTTTTGATTGTCCTAAACCACACCACATAGCCTACTTTTAATATTAAAATATAAAAATTAAAAAATGTTAAAAAATTATTATACCTAGCGAGTGAAATAAATTCAATAAGTTGTGTGAAATTTATTTTTAAACCATTTTTACACAACAGTTGTGACGTCATTTCCAACGTGGTCAACACTAAGCCACATTAAAAAGTCTTGGAAACTTGATTTATTTTTGCTATATTTCATTCATGTAGTGTTTTGATTGTCCCAGACTAGACCCCATACGTTTAGTTTTTTTTAAATATGAAAATTCATTTTTTTTTTTCAAAAACTATGTACAACGAGTGAATTTAATTCATTTAGTAGCTATTGTGTGTAAATTATTTTTAAAACATTTTCTACACAAACTACGACTTTTCAACAGTTGTGACGTCATTTCCAACGTGACCAACAAATAAAGTTTTATAAAAAAAAAAGTGTTTGTCGAGGAGATAACGGTGTCAGTGAAAGAGCCTGAGGTGAAATATGGAATTTGTGATATGAATATGAGAAGAAAACAAAGACAATGTAGGTACATTTTTTGTTTGCTTTTTTATTTATTTAACTGAATATTTTTAATTATCCACCTTTTTAAGCTACACACCCATATTCGCGCAAAGCGTCATGGGGTGTAGGATAAAGGTGGATATGTGCATCATTTCCAATCAGGGTGCAATTTAGTCATGCTATTCGTACTTCAGGTTCAGGTATATGTTTAAAGGTCATATGTGTCTCTTAAGTAATTCCCTTCATCTTCACTCCTAGGCATGATAGGTTATCAGTATTTTGTTGACTTTATCATTGAGACACTTGATAGAATAGGCTATTTAATAAATTCGCCCCAGAATTCCTTTGCGGCTGCATGGCTGTTCCATGATAAGAAAAAGATGTGCATTGTCTGTCCATACAGTGCACTTCCGGCTTGGTAAGTGTTCCCTGAATTTTTCAGTCCTGAGTCTGACCCATTTTTTTTTTAGGGATTGACAATTTTGTCCTTACCTACCTTGAAGCTGTTCCCAAACCTGTATGAGTTTCTTTCTGTTGTTGAACACAAAAGAAGATATTTTAAACAATGTTGGTAACCCGACAATATACGGCACCCATTGACTTCCATAGTATTTTTTTCCTATATAAAAGTCAATAGGTGCAGGCTACCAACATTCTGAAACAGTTAAGTGTGTATCTAGATTAGGGTGATCAAAACCAATTTTGCTTTGAAAAACCGGCACAAAAGTAAGATAGATCACCTGATATGCAAAACAGCGGGATTTCCAAATCCAGATCATTCTGATCTCGATTAAACTTTCTAAACAAATGGGCACAAGGGTTCAAAAAATAGTCAAATCTAGACCCATAAATTTTCAATTGCAACACCAGAGGTTGCTGTCTCCACAATATTAGGTGTACGTTATCAAGCTGTGTTCAGAATAGCGTGCCACCATACTTTACTACTGCAGAATTATATATACTGTCCACAATATTTATACAGAATTGTTTCTATGCATAGAAATACCCAAATGACCTACAACATTTACCAAAATGTGTAGTACATACAACAAAGCTCACTTTGAAGAACAGGTTCTATATGGATAGGCTAATCAGGGTTCTGTCACACACACTTTATCACTAGACAAACCCGTTAAACATGAAAGTATTGTGCAAAAATTTAAGACTTAGAAGAACCTTTTAGGCATAAAAAGTTCTTTAAAATTGGTTCAAGAACTTCCTTTACTAAAATGAGGCACGCATCCTTCAAAATGAGACACACTATATGTCTACTTATTGCAATAAACGCAAGCAATGCTAACTTAAAAAATATTTTTTTTTATTTGATTGTATTTTTCTGGTAAATTTACAATGAAATAACAAAACAAAAAAAAAGGAGTAGGCTGAAGCCGACGCTTATGTTTGCCTATAACTGAAGAATCAGCATTACATAAACATACATAATTCTACAATAATTAACAGTATACATAATTATCCCCAATATAAAACGACAATAAGAAAAACAAAGTGCAGCATCGCTCGCTGATAATGAGATGATTTCAGGTGTCATGTAGAGGAAGTATAAGAGAATAAAGATAGCCCAGTTTTTCTGCTTCATTCATTGCTGTTCAATCATCTCATCTTCCTGTCATCTTTCTGGGATTACAGATCCTATCACAATGAGTTTGAGCTCCATTTAACTCTAACGTTGCACTTGTTCATTTCTCGAGTGGCTTTTGATGGCAGTTTCAGACCTGATGGCGGGACATCTGGACCCGTATGGTGCTGTTGATCTGTGTGTGAGGAAATAGACTGGAAGATCTCAATGCGCAGTATTGTTTCTCCGTGTGTTATCTGCAGGCGAGCTCAGGAAACCTGCGGTGTTTGACAGGCTGATTAAAAGAAAGTGTTGCTTGTCATGTTGAACGGAGAGGCTTTGAGGCGTCAGGGTATTTCAGGATGTGTTTGGCTCACTCCTCAGCGTGTGTATGCAAGCATCTGTTCATTTATTTGTGAATGAGACGTTGACTCACTCTGGCAGACAGGATGTTTGAATCATTGAAGTGTAACACACATAACAGACTGCTGTAGTGAGACATGCACACATGAATCGCTCTGCAAATTAGACAGCTGTAGTTGTGTCACAGATAGTACATGCATATGAAATGGTTGAGATCTTGCATGCTTTTCGTATAAATGAAAACATTAAATCAGTGAAGCAATACGTCGTTGCCGGTTCCTGTAATGCACTGTATTGTCAGGACACCACAGATGATGCATGTTTAGAGACAGCTAACATTACTGCCTGTTCTTGGATTTTGTCTGCCTACATTTCCGAGCCACAGGCTATATTGGCAAATGTATATATATGTGTGTATGTATGTATAATATATATATATATATATATATATACAAGTGTGACACTGCATTTGAGGTATGAAAAGAGCTATACAGCTACATAAATTATTATAACAAGATTACACAGCACTATATATATATATATATATATATATATAAAGCTAAATTAAAAGATAATCCTAAATGAAAAGGCAATTTATAGATACCGGTAAGATAATCCTATAAGCATGAAAATTATATTAATATTAAATAGAAAAACTTAACTTAAAATATAGTCTTATTAAAAGCAAACCTAGAATATATTAATCTAACTGAAAAATACACATTAATTTTAAATTATATATTTTAAACACATAATTTAAACCTTATTATAAAAAGTTATCCTAGAATATATTAATATTAAATTTTAAAAAAAGCTAACTTTAAAATATATCAAAAAGAAACATTAACATATTTACAAAAGCTCGTCTTTATAGTCTCAATGTCACTGTAAAGCAATAAAACTGAACAGTTGTTCTCTTTGTGTAAAAAAAACACAGCAATGCTTTTGTGCCAGAATTGGCACATGTCTGGACAGACGGTTAAATTAAATGTGTTTGTCGTGTCTATATTTAGTCGGAAGTAAAAGAGGGTGTGCGACTGTATGGTATCGTACACGTGTGTGTGTGTGTTCAGTCCTGTAAGCAGATGGTCTTCTGGTGTTTGAGTTCATACGAAACATATGTAGGTCAGGTGCAGCATGGGCTGTCGTTACCGTGGAAACTAGGAGTCAAACATGACTGCAGTGATGCTTTGGGACACATAAACACATGTACGTATGGGACTTTATTAAAAAACATGTATGTTTTGATTAGTGCAAATATATCAGGATGCATCCAGATACACCTTTTCTCCACTTTACCTGTTCACCTGTTCCTCTTCTGGGCATCCTGCCATGCTTTACTGCTCTATCCATCACTCAGATACCAGCTCGGGTGATACATCATCCGTCTGACCCAGAAGGCTCATGGGAAGACACTGTTCTATTTTACTAAGAATAGGGAGAGAAATAACAAAGTAGAGCAGAGGAAATAAGGCTATGTCATATAAGGTGTGGGTCTATTGCTACTTTTCAACATTATCATTTCAGAAGCAATTCAAACTAAATAGTGTTGATGTTAAATTAAATCTACATTTTATAGACATGCCTGCACAAAAGTTCTGTTCTAACAAATGCTAATGCACGTAGACTTGATATTCGATTGCAAAAAGATCGTATTTGACAGATATTCCCCTTTGGGAGTTTTTAACATATCACAGTCTCTATTTATATTCCGTTTGGAAAAAGTATAAATCTGATTTATGGGACTGGATTGCCCCAAAATTTCATCAAAATAAGAATTGTCACTTGATTTCATTCAATTTAGTTATACATTTAAATGTGCACAAACATGAATGTGCCAATGACAAATAGATCATTCAGGATTTGGATGGATGACTAAATGATGGCAGAATTTTAATTTTGGTGTGAACTATTCTTTTATAGGTAAACATTATTTAGTGTCTCGGTGTATAGAACAAAATGATTTAGGTACTTCTTTTAAAGTAGA